TTCAAGGTGACTGATGTGAAGTTGGGATAGAAGTCAAGGTCAGGAAAATCACAGGGTGCCAGATCATGGAGTGTCTTTAAGATCATGGCAAACACTAAATTTCAGTGAGTTTGATGGAGAGTCATTGCAGGTCTTTGAGCACAGTGATTTTTATCTGATTGAGGTTTGAAAGATCACTCTTGGTTGGAAGTGAAAAATACAGAAACAAGCTACAAAGTGATAACAATAATCCATAAAATGGAGAATGATAGCTTGGACAAGATGGCGATGGGAAGAGGTGTTGAGAAATGGCTGATACCTTTATTATTTAAAAATAAAATGTATAGTATTTGTGATGAATTGGATGTGGTGTTAGAGAAAAAGAAGCACCAAGGAAAATGCCAAGGTTTTAAGCATAGATTGGAAAAAAAATGAAATTGACATTTACAGAAATGAAGACTAGGAGATTTATTTTTATACAATTCACTATTTTCTTGTAATTATAAGCTAAACATCCAGTAATAGTGGGATGGCTACACAAACAATGGTGCATTTATTCTATAGAACCAATAAATTGAGACAAAACCACATATCCTTTTATGAAAAGACATAGTAAATTAGTTGCAATTTACAGGAGATTCCATTTAGTGTGATGTGTTTAATAATATTACATATCTATGTATATTCAGAAATAATATACAACAGACTTTTTTTATTTTTCTTTTTTTTTTCCTTACCAGGGATCAAACTCAGGACCTTACGCTTGCAAGGCAGGTGCTGCACCACTGGGCTAAATCCCCAGCTAGAACAGACTTTTAATAATAGCTATCTCCATGGAAATTAGCAAATAAAAGGAAGAGATTTTCATTATTAATATATATTTTAAATATATGACATCATCTGATTTTACATGATTTGCATCTGTGCATTTATTCTGCGCTAAGGAGTATTACTGATGAGCAATTATCATGCAGATATATTCATAATGAACCTCTAACTTACTTAGGGAATGCAGTAGTTGAGGGAGGAACATTTTATGGGAGGGCCATAAGGATTGGCAGGTACAGGGATTGCATACATTGTGAACCATTGCATTGGGAAGACATTTTCCAGCAAGGTGTTTATTGAATTATAGGCAAAGAAAAGATTTGTTGCATAGATTTAGGGAAATCAAATTGTTTTAAGCATAAAACATTTTCTATGCAAGTAGAGTCTGGGTTGCATAGAGAATGTTGACACTGTTACTGAATTATAAAAATCCTTGGCTATCTTTTCAGCCAAATATGGAGGTTTAACACTTCCAAGTACAGGTAGTACGTGTATTTGATGTCTGTGAGGCTTATCTGAGTTGAAGAAAAGTCACTATCTTGTTATTCGAGGGATAGGAGATTCTCAGCCTGTTTCTGTAGGAAACAATATATTTAGAAATTCCTTGTAAATGTCATACATTTTTTAAATAATTTGTTTTGAGAAAAATGTACATAACTTGCATAAGTCTCAGAGAAATTATGGGTGACCCTTTCATCAGTGACCTGTAAAACTGCTTTTTCTTCTTTGAAAAAAAATTGTCCTGTTTACTTAAAATAATTAATTGATTCATTTCTCATTCTTCCTCTACTCATAAGAGATTTTAAAGCCACGGCTTAAGTAAATTTTGTTGAAAAAAATAATAAAGAGCTTTCTCAACAAAATTGTGGGTAGCAGAAAATTCTATGATGAAAAAGGGTAAAGAATAGAAAGGTGAGATACCTGCCGACAAGTTCAATCTTTTGGGCCACTTGTTGCATTGCTAATCCACTGTGGTTTTGCAGTAAAGCACTTTCATTCATGTCTGGAGCTCTTATATTTGTCTAAGAGAAATCAATTAATCGCTAGGTTTCATCTCTAGGAAAGTACAAACCTGAGGTCAGCTAGAAGATGGAATGAAGCTCAAAGAAAATACTTTGATGAAAGAGGATGTAGAACAGGCAATAAAGTTGTTCCCTTATAACTTAAGTGCACTTTTGAGGGTCTTCAGTGGGTATACACGCCCTTTACATTAGGATTTTAAAAGTAAAAGTGTCTCATAATTCATTTAAACAGTTTCTCAAAGAACAAATGTCTCACAAATGTTATATCTCTTCCATGAGTAGAAATAACCCAAATTCATTACTTTTACTTTGGCCTATTCACATGCCTCCTATGAATTCCTTAGTAGATAAAGTTACAGAACAATGACTTGTAGACAGTTCATGCAGTTTGAATGAATATTTATGACACTGGATCCAGGGGGGTAGCAGACATCAAAGGAATTACAAAATAGAATGGCAACTTTCTCCCTGAAACATAAATGCATGGATGAAAACCATTCAAGAGCCTCTAGAATGTGGGAGAAGGCATTAGCACACCAGTTATTTAAGGGGTTGATTGGAAGCACTACCCAGCTCCTTTGAGATGACTCATTTTGAATCAGGTGGGAATGAGCCTTACATCTCTTTCAGAGGATGATTAAACATAGCATGAATTAACATGTCAGTAAAATGTTCTAGAGTAATGATACTTTGCATTACAGCATAGTTTCCCAAGTATTTCCTTAGTAATTAAGACAGAAAGTAAAACATGAGTGAACTTCCTTCTACCACATATCAACCCAAAGCATATATTTTAAGCCTCCTCTGATACTTTGAACCATAAATGAAGAGGCTAAAATGGCCAGATTTTGAGAGAAAAGCAAAGTATCTGGGTCTTGTGATGCCCTCCACAATTTAAACTGACGTTCTTCAAGGTATTCAGGTGGTTTTAAATTGCTATTCCTTAATAGGTATAACATATAAAGAGACTTCATTGGGAAACTGAGGAAACAAACTTTCCCTTGGACCAGAAGAGGCTGAAATTAAATTAGAATAAATTTTGGCAGAAAAGGGGCAGTATGACTTGGGAAGAAACAGGGCTTCCCAGACTGAGTGACCTAGATCAAGCACCTCCTATGCCACATGCTGTTTAGATAATTCTGGCCATGTTACTTTCTCGTCCTTGTTCTTTTTATCAAATATAATAGAATATATATATATATATTAGAAATTATTATACCCATCTCTTACAACATATAATACATTAGGAGGTTACAGTATATCTGAGCTAAGGTAAGATATCCACACAATGTGTTAGTTCCTTCTCATATGCTGCCTTGATATACATTATTTTATTTCTAGCTTACGTTTAAGTCCTGAGACAGACTAGTTTGTGAATTTCCATTGTTCACAGAAGCCACATTCTCCTCAGTTTCCAGAAGCAGTTTGGGTTCTACAGGTTTCCTTAAAGGCATCTGTACTAAGGGCCATGAGTAAGGAGAATGGACTGCTGTTTAGTTTGTACAATAACAAAGGCAATCTTTTATGATCCACTTAGAATAAAGCCAAATGTTTTACATGTGCCATCTCATTGAATCCAAAGATTGTCTTTAAATAGAGGACACTGTTGATATCCTCTTAGATCTCCTTTTTTGCAGTACTGTAATTTTCAATGTAAAGATCTTTTAATTAATTTGAGAGATTGATTCCTAAGTATTTCATTTTTTCAATGCTATTGTGAAAGGCAAGTTTTCTCTAATTTCTCTCTCAGTAAGTTTGTTATTTGTGTACAGGAATGCTAATGATTTTTGAGTGTTAACTTTGTATACAGCTACTTAACTAAATTTGGTTATTTAATCTCAAAGTCTTTTGGTGAGGTTTTTGGGTACTTCTATGTAGAATATCATGTCATTAGCAAACAATGACAGTTTAATTTCTTATCATTTCTTATCTTTATTCCTTTTATTTCTTTTTCTTGAATAATTGCTCTTGTCTGTTTGCAGAAGTATATTGAGCAAGAGCAAGCAATGACAGTGAACATCCTTATCTTGTGATTTTAGAGTGAAAGCTTTCAGTTTTTGACCATTTAGTATGATGTTGGCTGTTGGTTTGTCATAGACTGCTTTTATCAGGTTGAGATAAGGACCTTCTATTCCAGTTTTCTGCAGGGTTTTTATAATGAATGGGAGTTGTATTTTGTGGAAAGGTAGCTCTTGCTTGTGGGTAGGAAGATGCAACATAGTAAAAATGGCCATATTCCCAAAATGGTTATACAGATTTAATGCAATCCAAATCAAAATACCAATAGCATATCTCATAGAACTATAAAAAATTACTAAAATTCATTTGGAACCAGAAGTGATCTAGAATAACAAAAACAATTCTGGGCAAAAAAAGGAAAGCTGGGTACATCACAATCCCTGCCTTGAAATTATTTTACAGAGCTATTTTGATAAAAACAGCATGGTA